CTGATGAAAATCGCACACCTGAAGATGACCCTCGTGTCCATGCTACTGACGGTCATCGGCATGAACGTGCTGCTGGTCGGCGGCGTGGGCTGGCTGATTCACTATCTCAAGTACAAGACCATGTGCAAGATCCACCCCCATCTGGTGCAGACGCACTCGCACGTCTACGACTCGGAGCCCTCGGACTACTCGCAGTTCGTGGGCAGCGGCAACTCCTACTCCCCCTACAGCTCGGGGGCGGGTGCAGCGCACGACATCACGGGCAACACCTACAGCAAGGACTGGGCCACGAGTAAGGCCTACAATGGCTACAACTATCTGGACACAATCAGCAAGCGGATACCCTAAAGTCAGAGTCTAGTTCAAATTCGTCGTCTTGTTGCTGCTTAGCTAATTTATTGCAATTTAATAAATGTATTTATGCAGCGTTTCTGTACGCTTGCAAGCGAATATAATTCAGCAATTCACTGCACATTCCTTTCAACGGTTCTGCTTTAGTCTGCCTCCACATAATTCCACAAGCCAAACACCCCGCGCCACTCATAAAAGCATAAAACAATTTGTTTATGGGGAAAGCAAACACACAGCAGAGACAGCTGGCCAGAGGGAGGGCCTCTTATCAGTTGGCCATTGGCATTGCTTCAGTTAAGCAAACAATCCAAATCCGGATTCGCCTTCCTGGAAACAATACCAGTTCCGCACAATTCTTGAACTTAATTGAGCAAATAGGCTTTGGGCACGGGTCTGCCAGCAAATATGAGTGGGAGAACCAACAGGAATGAAATATTAGACAGGAATGCCAGGCCTTCATGTCTGCCTCGCCATCAAGTGAAAGTGAAAGTAGTTTTGCATCTCTTGCATCCCATTCCAAGCTGCTTGTTTATGTTCTTATCGCATCACAGATGGCACTTGGGATAAAGCCTAAGCCATGAACATGCATAGCCAGAGAGAAGTGTGGCAATATATGCAGATTTTGGCACTCAACAATTGGGCAGCCAACAAAGTTTCAGTTTTAATTTGGGTCCCTTGTCCTGCTGGAACGCTGGAACGCTGGCACAGCTGGCACCAAGCAAATATGTGCGGGCGGCTCTTGTGTAGCAAACAATTTGTTTCGGGCTACCAAGAAACGGCTCTCAGAGCCCTCTGTTTATCCAACGAACTACGCACAACTCTCCCAATCAATAAGTCCACACACACACACAGACACACACACACAGACAGAGACGCGCTGGCTAATGCCAGATAAGTCCAGTGGATTCCAGCTAACTGGCTGCTATCTGTTGACTACACATGTAAATGATTTAATGGAGCAGCACCAGAATTCATCTGTTTGCTCTCATTTATGGCAAGCAGGCAGCGAAACCAAACAAAAGCCTCCACTCCAACCAGCAACCACAGATGATAAGCTCCAACTGCCAGCCATTGACAGTCTCCGAAGCTATTAACTTTGTGGCTAAACGACCATCATGTCAGCTCTGAGCCAGAGGAAGTGGCAGTTCTAGAGAGAACTTAAACGACAGCTATATGGATCATAATAATTATAATTCCCTTCTAAAACACGCAATCCGCCCGACTAATGGCTGTAAAAAGCTGCCTGTCTGGGCACAATAATAAAGTACTGCCTAAGGCACGTCCCACGAAAGTCGGTAAACAGAGAAATTATATGACACAGGCACATATTCCACGCTACTATTGTGTCCAGTATGCACTTGAGATCTACGCCAGAATGCTGCCCGCCTGGCTGAACGCGGAGTATATTCAAACCCAGCTGAGAGCCCACACCAAGAATGTTCAGCTGCGAGTCCTTAAGCTTTGGGGCAAGCCCGCCACTGGCAAGGGGGAGAACTTTATTGGCACTGTGACTCGCATCCACGTGGACTACGACAGTGGCGGCAGTGGAGCGGCGCAGCACCAGTCATACATCCTCAAGCAGCCCAGCTCAGTGGACGCGCCCCAGGCAAGCATTTTCTTCGAGTACGATGTGTACGCACGGGAAATGGACATGTACGACTTTGTGCTGCCCAGAATGGCCGAGCTGCTGCGAGGGATTGGAATCAAGGAGAAGCTAACCGCAGACTGTGTGGCTGTGGACAGGCAACACTCCGTTCTGATACTCGAGGACTTGGCGCCTCTCAAGTATGCCAATGCTGACCGGTTGAAGCAATTGGACACGGCTCATGCCAAGCTGGTGCTGGAGCTGCAGGCAAAGTTCCATGCCGCAGCCGTGATACTCAGAGAGCGACATCCCGAGCTGCTGGCAAAGAATTTCTCCACGCATTTCTTCTGCCGAGAGAAGCAGGGATACGGAGAGATCTTCACCAGTTTGTTTGAGTCTTTCATGGGGTATGTCAAGACCCAACCCAAGCTGAATGATCGCTACGGTGCCAAGTTGGAGCTGGTCCTGTCCAATTTGATGGAGTACGCAGCTCGAACTGTCGATGTTGCCCCGGAGGACTTTCAGACGTTGGTTCACGGCGACTGTTGGACCAACAATGTCATGTTCCAATACGATGACAAGGGCTGTCCTGTCAATGTCGTCCTGCTAGACTTTCAGTTCTGCACTTGGACCTCGCCGGCTGCCGATCTGCACTACTTCTGCAGCTCATCCCTGAGGGAAGATGCCAGAGAAAGGGAAACGCAGCTCGTGCAGCTTCACTATTGTGCCTTGACAAAGATCTTGGCAAAGTTCACACATAAATGTGTGCTGCCAAGCTTGCTCGAGTATCAGCTGCAGTTCGAGCGCCGTCGATTCATGAGTGGGTCAAATGTCAGCTGCAGCCTGAGGAATTTTCTATAATTGTTGTTCTTCCAGGTTTTGTTATTGCAATCACACTTCAGCCCCTGATGCTGTACGAGGGCACGGAGGATGCTGATTTTTCGTACCTCTATCAGGATACGCCGAAGGCGAGGCGCTTCCGGGACTCGATGTTTGCTTCGGAAAAAGTGCAGAGAATGGTGGAAAAGATGTTGCCAGTGGCAGATGCCAAGGGACTGTTGCAGCCACAGTAGAAAACTTCGCATTTAAACAATAGAAAGCTGCGATGAAACATAGTTGGAACGTATCCTATCCCAACTCAAATAAAATATCCACTTAAAAGGTAGTAGATGTGCCTGAGACAGACAATGGAAACTCTCAGTCGGCACCTAGTAAAAGTAACTGGGAATCAGGTGCGAGTTTTGTGCCAACTCACGATGTGTGTGTCGTCGTGTGGCTTAATTGTTTTATTGCCAGGAGAATAAAATGTATAATGAATGCAAAAGTGAGCAAAAGATTGGCCCCGGGGGGACAAGCCTGCTTATCGGAGGCAGTTTATACTTTTGGCCGATAAGAGCTGCGGATTTCGTCATCATATAAACTTTCGCACAGAGGCTGAGCTGTCAGATTTGGCTGAGAATTGGACGCCCGAGCAACACTCACGATGCTGCCCACTTGGTTAACGGAGGAATATATTCAAGGCCATCTGCGCGCCTACTGCCAGGATGAACAGCTGCGAGTCCTGCAGCTGTGGGCCAAGCCAGCAACGGAGAAGGGCGGCAACTATGTGGGCGTCATGACGCGCCTCTACGTGGACTACGAGGACGGGAGTGGCGCGTTGCAAAAGAAGTCGTATATCCTGAAACAGGCCTGCCCCGCAGACGCTTCCCAGTCGAAACTATTCCAGGAGTACGACGTGTACAATCGGGAGATGGACATGTACGAGCTGGTGATGCCCAAGATGGCCGCGCTGCTGCGGGAGATTGGCTTCACGGAGAAGCTAACTGCAGAGGCTGTAGTCGTGGATCGGGAGCGCACCATCATGATACTCGAGGATCTGGCCACGCTCAGATACGTGAATGCGGATCGCGTGCAGCAATTGGACTGGGCTCACACCAAGATGACGATAGAGCTGCTCGCGAGGTTCCATGCCGCCGCTTTGGTGCTCAATCAGCGTTATCCTGAGCTCCTGCGAAACAATTACTCATCGCACTTTTTCTCGCGTGGCAAAAAAGGCTACGAGGAGATCTTCACGGGCTTGTTCAAGGCTTTCCTTAGGTATGTAAACACTCAGCCGAGCCTCAAGGAGCGCTACAGCGAAAAGCTGGAGCACATTGCCGCTCATCTGATGGAGTACGCAGCTCGGTCTGTGGATGTGGGAGACAAGGACTTCCAGACACTCATCCACGGCGACTGCTGGACCACGAACGTCATGTACCAGTACGACGACGAGGGAAGTCCCGTCACAGTCATACCCATAGACTTTCAGTTCAGCACTTGGACATCGCCGGTTGTCGATTTGCTTTACCTCTTCAGCACTTCTCTCAGGGCAGAAGTCAGAGCGAAGGAAACCGAGCTCGTGCAGCTCCATTACTATGCGCTGAAGAAGAACTTGGAGAAGTTCTCCTACCAGGGTGTCGTGCCCAGTTTGCACGAGTATCAGCTGCAGTTCGAGCGCCGCAGATTCATGAGTAAGTGGAGAGAGAAACACTGCCCACCAAAGAACATTCTCTAAGAGTTCTCTTGCCCCCCACAGCTGTCATAATTGCCAATCTGTTCCAACCCATTATGGTGTATGCAGGCACAGAGGAGCCCGAGTTCTTGAATCTCTATCAGAGTACTCCGGCAGGAGTTCGTTTCCAGGACTCCATGTATGCCTGCGAAAAGGTCAAAAGGATTGTGGCAAATATTCTACCAAGGATGCCAAGGGCCTCTTGGATCCTCAGTGAAGTTTAGGCTAGGATTAATTAATACAACAAGAAATCTGTCAGCGTGTGCGCGAGATTGTGTAAGGTTCAGGGCTTTAAAGTTTGCCATTAAGTTGAGTTGATGTTGATAACAAAATGTCTTTTGTTTGCGCGTGGGAACAGCGTGCAGACAATGAGAGTCTTTTATTGGGTTGTCTGATAAGCGCAGACACGAAATAATCACAGCTAGAATGAATACATGCATTTGTACAGCTCCCAGCCCACTGTGCGCAGCTTTTGGCGTACTGCTTCAACCCCTAACTTCGCTGATAAGAAAGCTCTGCGCAGCTGTTGGGCCACAACAAACCCGAAAGCGATGGCCAGTAGCCTGTTGACGGCCAGCAACAGAGCGCGGCACGTTCTGTTCTGCTTCAAACTTCTGTCAGATACGCGGCGTATACGCAACGAGCAACAACGGTGTTCCTCCGAGGCAGAGGCAGCGCTATTTAAGCAAGGGGATGCGCCCCAAAAGCCAACAGATGGTCGCTGACTGTGCCCGCGTGTGGTTATCGGGGATCAGCAAACAGCCACAACTAAACCGCTCCACATTATTGTAATACAAAAAACGCAAACAGCAAAGAACCGAAAGGGGGCAATAAGATGGAATATTTATACAAATTCTTTGAATCGACAAAAAAAGTGCTCTAAAGGTACCTCCTCTCTCTCTCTCTCTCTCTCTCTCGCTCTCTCTGTGTGTGTGTGTGATGTGTGGAAATTGTTTTGTGTTTGCTTTTCCAACGATCCAACGATGTGCAGCCATTAAATTGTTGAAGGCGTGAAAATTTGGCAGCAGCAGCAGCCGTGAGCGGCGTAAAGGCTAAAGTGGGCCGCGGAAATTCGCTAATAACCCGCCGGACGGCGGACGGCGGACTGTGTCTGTTTTTATGATGATTACTTTGTGGAAGTTGCAACTCGCGGCCTCCGAATCAAAGTAATCGAATGAAAATAAAGATTGCTGCGCAGTGGCGGAGACTCCCGCGGGACTCGCGGCTAAAGTCAGTTTCTGTGATGCGAAGTGACGTGTGCAGGGGAGCGGGAAAATCATATTTGTGCCAAAAACTACAACTACGAGTGGCTCGGAGACGACGGTCAGTGAATGTGCGCAGGATGTTGTGGGTGATTCGAGTGAAAAATGAGTGTCTGACGTGCCAGAGCAGCGCCACACAGTCGGCGAATTATTAAAGGATGTCTGTGTCACTGGAACTGGTGCACTCAGAACTGAGATATAAACCAAAAACAAATTGCTTAATGGCCGCATTAATGGAAACATAATCGATGCTCGCTTAATGGACTTTTCCTGCGCGTGAATCAGAATATTATGGAGCAAGTGGGACAGTTGTTGATTCAACGATTAAGTGGATTGTAAATGAGCACCTGCCTGCCCAAAGAGCAGACATTTTAATTAGAGTTTCAGCCAAAAGTGCTACCTGCTTTAATTGCTCCTCTTCGTGTTAAAGCTGGGCGGCATAATTCATTAGGGCTCCGATGCTAAGCTTCTTAGGGCCCTCGTAAACTTTGCATAAGTTTTGGGGCAGGCAGCAACTGCGCCTGAGCAATGCAATCAGGGATAGGGACTTGTGCAGCAAGTTGCTGCCGCTGCTCAAAGATGCCCCAAAGTCCAATAATTTCGTAGAAAGTTCTCTCTGTGTGTTTGGCATAAATTCTTCGAGCTTCGAGAATTCATTTGCAGCAAGTTTGTGCAGCGGCAGCTGAGGCATCCGCTTAAATGCTCAACAGCAGCACCCCGAACCCCCGCACATAAATCTCTTTCTTGTCTCCCTTCGCGCAGCGAGTGCATTCGAAAGTGCAGACTAAATGAATAAGTGCTGCCCCATAGGAACAGGAAACAATCGTATCGCAGATACAAGCAGGGAGAGGCACCCAGAGGAACAGAACACTCCCGAGGCAGTGGGAGGAGAGAAGATGGTGAGTGTAGTAATTGCAATATAAATACTTAAAGCGTGGAGAAGATGTCAAATGGATAGAAATGACTTTGTTTCCTACCACCCTTTCCACCCTCCGCGAAAGCGAGCAAAACTTTTCCTCGGGTGCGGCTCGACTTGGCCTGGGCTGTGCGTGTTTCCTGGAAACACAATCCGCCTGACTTATGGCCAAGGACTCGCTCCATTTGGCATTTATATTGCGCTCTGCATGTGTAGTCCTGTGGCTAGAGTAGGGGAGTTCCGCCCTACTATGATAGCAGCTCAGTGGCTTCTTTTTTTGCTAATGGCGCCTCGGAAATTTGAATATATTTTGTGTACCAGAAATAGCACACACCAAAAGCAACTGTGTGTGTGGGGACAAGTGAAACTTAAGCACTCTGAGTCGTCTGCAGCTTTGACACCGAAGACGTGTTAAGCCATCTGAATTCGCTTTGTTACAAAAAAGAAACGAAGGCAAATCCCAGCTTAGTCTGGCTCCACACTGTTCGGTTGATTAATGTTTAAATTGAAGCTGACCGGAAAAACAAATGTGACTGGGGCATGCGAAATCGAAAACAATTCATTCAATAGATGCTCCAAGAAGGGAAAATTGAGACATTCGCCAGTCGACAGGGGCAATATGTTCCTGCTTGTGGCAAGCAAGTGGCCAAAAAGGCAATCAAATTCATCTCACAAACAATGAACATCAGCATAAATAAATCACACACAAATGGCTGAGTCGAAATTCCGACAGGCAGCTGCCAGAGGCCAACACACGGATCCAAACCGAGGAGGGCTGGCATTTAAAATCTTTGTCACGCTCTGTTTATCCATCCAATGAAGCGAGCAAGCCAGGGCGGGAAAGAAATTATACAAAATTGTGTGACAACTGCCAGGGACTTGAAGCTGCTTTGCATAATTCCGGCAGCTCCTCGGGGGAAAACCCATTCAAATTCAACATCCACCTAGCCTTCGATTCGCAGAAATCTGTGATTGAATGTTTTGCTACAAATTGATGATCAGCCTTTCGGGTCCGGCTTCAGTGCCAGCTTAAACAGAAGTGGCATCCTAAATGCTTTCGTCGGCATACAGCAGGCTCATGGGTGGACTGTGGTCAGCAGAGGGTCGGTCCCACTTCCGATTGTTTGAGTTCCAGCACAAAGTTTCGGGACAGCGCAAATATTTGTCAATTTAATTGGGGAGAACTTTAAATTAAATTTCCATGGAAATTCCCTCTGTCTATCCTTCTCTCGCAATGAATGAAACTTATCTCTCCACCGTTGGAGATGGCTGAGGCAGAGGCAGCCAGCCGATTGGAGAGATTTATCGCAGCTGTCAGTGGTAATGCATACCTTTGGGCGCCCCCACAAAGAGGTTTCTCCTTCATCGATGCTGACAAGTGCGCAGACATTTGGTGCATAAAATTACACGATTATTTTTGGCAAATGTCGTCATTTATAACAGTGTCCCTCTGCCGCTGATTGGTGTCCCCGTGGAAGCGGAGAGTGTCTCTCTTCTGACTTTTCCCTAATTATATGCATGGCTCTGTCACTGAAGATCTACTGCGGAATGGATACAGCACGGCTGTGGACCAAGTTGGGCATGGCAACGGGAGACCGAAAAGACTGAGCAAAGCCAAAAGAAATGTTGGGAAAAACTTTAGAGAATGTGCAAAGTCAAGTCCCATGAAGTCCCCCAGAGCCACGGCCATTGTCTGTGTCCAAGGAAGCATTGCGAAAAACTAAAAGCTTTTGAACTTCCATCAATGGCAGAGATCTCAACTCAATTATCATGTTTAGGGCAGAGCCTGGGCATGACCTTGAACACTGTTTCCCTTCAATTCGTGTCAAATGCACATAGAGCCAGCCCCCAGGGACGAGTAGTGGCGCGTGCTGGGCCACCTACTGGCACCGAGCAGGAAACTTTTCGTGGGGTTTGTATTTTTAGCCAAAAGAAACTCATAAATCGTGTGGAATGTGGCACGCAAAGCCTTGCACCCTCTGATTGGAACATTTGTAAGCAGACTGGGCGAGTAATGAGACATTTTGCTTTGCAGATAATCAGCATGAATCAAACGGAATCGAAACCGAGCTGGAGCGGCAGTGTCCGCTTCCTCGACGAGCAGCATCCGCTGGACTATCTGGAGGTGGGTGTGGCCCTCGTGAATGCCAGCAGCAGCAGCAGCAGCGCAGAGTACAACGAAACGGGCAGTGGACCGCTGGACCCGGAGCTGGTCGAACGCTTCCTCAGCAATCGGGCAGTGGACAGTCCCTGGTACCACATGCTAATTAGCATGTACAGCGTCCTCATCGTGTTCGGGGCTCTGGGCAACACGCTGGTCGTCATTGCCGTTGTCCGCAAGCCAATTATGCGCACGGCCCGCAACCTCTTCATACTCAATCTGGCCATCTCTGGTGAGTGTCTCCCTCTCGCTCATGGACCCGAGCTAACTGGCGTGTGGATTAATTGCAGATTTGCTTTTATGCCTGGTCACCATGCCGCTGACATTGGTGGAGATTTTGACCAAGTACTGGCCCCTCGGCTCCTGCTCCATTCTGTGCAAAATTGTGGCCATGCTGCAGGCACTTTGCATATTCGTTTCGACAATATCCATAACAGCCATTGCCTTTGATCGCTATCAGGTTAGTAGCAGCCATCCCAAGGGTTCCTTTATGCCAACAATCGATACAATCTGTATCGCTCCCCTCCGCAGGTGATTGTCTATCCCACGCGGGACAGTCTGCAGTTTGTGGGAGCCGTGACCATACTGGCTGGCATTTGGCTGCTGGCGCTGCTCCTGGCCTCTCCGATGTTCATCTACAAGGAGCTGCTGAGCGAGGACACGCCGCTGCTGCTGCAGCAGATTGGGCTGCAGGAGCAAATCAGATTCTGCATCGAGGACTGGCCGAGCAGCAACGGCCGCTTCTACTACTCGATCTTCTCGCTGTGCGTGCAGTATCTGGTGCCCATCCTGATCGTGTCGGTGGCCTATTTCGGGATCTACAACAAGCTGAAGAACCGCATCACCGTCGTCACCGTGCAGGCGGCCTCGTCGCAGCGCAAGGTGGAGCGGGGCAGGCGCATGAAGCGCACCAACTGCCTGCTGATAAGCATTGCCGTCATCTTTGGGGTGTCGTGGCTGCCGCTGAACTTTTTCAATCTGTACGCGGACATGCAGCGCTCGGGCTCGGGGCCCAGCTCGAACATGCTCGTGATGTACGCCATTTGCCACATGATCGGCATGAGCTCGGCCTGCTCCAATCCCCTGCTCTATGGATGGCTCAATGACAACTTCCGTAAAGAATTTCAAGAACTCATATGTCGTTGCACTGAATCCACTAATGTTGCTCTTAATGGTCACACGACAGGCTGCAACGTGCAGGCGGCAGCGGCGCGGCGGCGGCGCAAGCACGGCCACGCCGACATCTCCAAGGGCGAGCTGAAGCTGCTCGGCCACAGCGGGGCAGGTGGCGGCGGGGGTGCCAACGGTGGCGATGGTGGCGATGGTGGCGATGGTGGTGTGAGCGTTGCAGCCACCGATTTCATGACCGGACATCAGGATTGTGGACTGCGTAGCGCCATGACCGAGTCTGTGGCGCTCACCGAGAATCCCATGCCCACGGAGGTCACCAAGCTGATGCCTCGGTAAAGACACACACACACACACACACACACACATACATCCCTTAGTCTGTAGGCAAAAATGTTGCATGCTGCTGCTCCTTTTTCCTTTCCTTATTCCATTTTATCGCATGCCGTTGTTGTTTTTGCGTTTTAAGTAGCCATCGAATATGACTCAACAGTTTGTATGGAACCTTTTGCAGTTTGGAACAATACTAAATTGCATTTGTTGTGCTTGTACTCCTCCATTTCCCCTACGACTTGCGCTACATCCAGGCCACCCCGAGCCGGAGGAGGAGCAGCGAGAGCCGTGAGAATCGTCTGAGTGCGAGTGAAGGAACGAGCGAGCGGACGATATATTTATTGTCCAGTGATCCAAAGCCAAGCTGAGTTACACCTAGGTTTAAGACAGCCAACGAGGAGTATAATAACCCATAAATAGTACATAATATAATCGATAATCTATGCCCAAATCATCATCACTTTCTTTGGTAAGAAAAGACTTGGTCTAGACTTGGACTATTTTGGGTTGGTAATTTCGTTTCCTATCGAATTCCGAAGAGTAATTGTATGAGCCCACAACTGAAATTCGGTCATTCGATAAGTCGCTTATAAGTTGCCATTAAAACAGTTCCTAAACACTTTCATTTCCCCTCTCGAAAGCCGCGATACCTTTTCGAATAAGCTAGTACATAATTGCATACATAAATACATAGTTCATACATAATTACATGTAGTAGACATTCAGCGCATCATTTTCTACGGTTAAGCACACTCAAAGTTCGCATAATAATTGTCATCTGTATAATAATATAATCGGAGTGCAGTAACCTTAGAGTAAATGTCAGTTCTTACAGCTAAACATAAATGTAAACCGAATGAATTTTAATAAATGTTGTTTACAAATCCAAAAGCAAGGATCGAATGTGGGATTGGGGATTAGGCGGTGTCCAAACGGCAGTGTAAAAATGTATATAAATATATTTTAATGAAAAACTGAAAGGTTATTGTATTTAAACCGCATTTCACAGTGGCTTCTGTGAGGATTTGAGGCATGAACGCCGAAGGCCCAGACCTCGTACTCGTACTTAACCTTTAGGTTTGCTTTGCTATCCATTGGGCCGCACGAATGTCGCATAAAAACCTATGACCCCCCATAAAAAGGGCCTAAATGTGGGCGAACTGTGATTATGGTTATACAAACAGGCAAGCAGATAGATGGATACAAATGGCGGAAGTTGTGCCTGTGTGTGGGCAAAGGCTTCAAGGCGTTCCGGAACCCTTGAACCAAAGGGAAATGTCAGCAACTATAACAGCATGTGGGGGATACTCATTACTCTCTCTCTCTTCCTCGCCCATTTCATGACGCTCCACTTTGAGTGCGTACTCAGGTGAGTGGGCGCGGAGAGAGATGATTACAATTCAATTACACACTGGGTGAAAGGTCGGTCAGCAGCCCGCTATCCAGCGGCCGACGTGTGACAGAAACGTGACCGGCGGTCGAGTGAATTATGTGACACAGCAGCGGGCGCAGGAGGAAAGTGAAGAGTTCCCACCAGCCAGCAGCAGGCAGCGTTCAAAGTGAAACAAAATAAAATAAACTAATTAAAAATTTCCATCCATCGGGGAATCAGAGATGTCGCCAAGTGCTGACGCGGCTGCTGAGTCTGCTGAGGCTGCTCGGGCTGTGGCTGCTGCCAGTTCGCTGTTTTGACGGCTTGTAACGCTCCTATGCACTTGCTTGTGGCTTGTGAAAGTGTTTACTTTGCGTTACTTTACTGTCACTGCCAGACTTATGACGGGGCGTGGCCGCCACAGCTCCCACCCCGCTGCAGAGGCTGGCTGGCTGCGGTCATCATGGGCTGCGCTGATTACGACGAAAAACCCTATTCAACTTTCTTCACAGCCAAAAGATGGAAGATTGCGTAATGCAAACAAACCCATTCTGAATATCGATGGCTGGCAGAGTGTGAATCTTTCAGTTTGGTCATGAATTAAGCCCGATGAGAAGAGCGCAGCGTGAGCGCACAATTAGCATATTGATGGGCAAAAGTGAAATTAAAGTTGGCAATGGAATGCCAGGAAAAGGCTCGCAAATATTGACAACATTCAAGCAATCTTGTGGCAGCCCAAAAAGACACTTGGTGGGAACAGAACTCAGACCCAGAGTCGTCCACATCCAGCCTGAGTTCAAGGCAATTACATCGAGCCTTGGACACATGTCAACTGGACTGATGTGGGCATCTCCCCCCAGCCCCTAATTGACGCTAAACGAATTCGCTTTTAAGCACTTTCACAAGAGGATGGAGATGGTGCCAAGCTGGGCACATAATTCATGCATTGTCTGTGTGTTCGCATAGAAGTTGGCCCCAATAGTACATAGAAATTGTTTAGAAAACATTGCACAGCGCATGGCTGGCCCATTGTGGGGGTCTGTTACATTTGGAGCTGAGTTATTGATTTTGCGGTCTCATAAACTGGCTTTCATTTCGTTGTGCTCTTTTGGCTCTTGGCTTGGCCGCTTTTGCTGCGGTCAGGGGGAGCGCTGTCGTTTCCGCTTGTTGGCCACAAGTCAATGGCAAAGTTTGTCACCAGAAATTAATAACAATGTGCCGCTTAGTTGGCCAATTCTAGACGACTGATGCGACTTTCTCATGCGCAAACCGTAAAAACCGGCTCCCCCAGCCGATCATCAATCAGAGTCTCTTCAGGTACACAATAAGTGAAAATTTGCACTCGTTTCGCTGCACAGAAGCCAGACCAGTTTTCAGCAACGAAAAATGAATATTTTATGATGCATGCAGCAAGCTGCAAGTGCACCTTAGTCCTGTAATCCCCACCGACAATGCCATTGACAGCGTGTGCAGCATCAACCATTATTGGTTGCGAAAGTCCTGAGAGGTTCATTTAGAAATCAGCGGAGCATGCAGCAGCTCTCTGACCAACCGCAGAAGGATTCACTCGGGCAAGAGCACAAAACCCCCGCCCAAACTTTATACAAGATTCTTGAGGAAGTTCTGGTTTTTTCTCGATGGAAAACTATCCTTTTGCTGACCCTTTTCCAAGCAGAAACACATAAACTTTTCCATTTACATTGTTGGGGCTGCCTTCCAGTACTGCAATTTGTGTAACATTTTGCAACATTAATTATTTGATCGAGGATGAATTGTGGGCCTCCGGCCAACGCTGCAACAGAATGAAATTGTTGAGAAAAAAAGGAAACAAAATAAAACAACTTGCATGAAGTTTTGAGGCAACTCATCGACAACGTAAAGTTTTAGCCGCTTGCCAAGCAAAATCGAAAGTTCGCGGACTCAATGTCAGGCACCGACTAGCAGAGTGACTAAGTGACCGCCTTGCCTGTCCGTTAGTATATTCCCAAAGTGTGCTGCGGCATTGTGCGGCATGATGCAGCGCATTTCTGGCTGTTTATAATAAATATTCCTGAACGAAATTGACAAGCAACTTCACGACGACAACGACCGGGTTTCCATATTACATTTTTATCACCGGCAAGGGAAGGAGTTTTCATTAGCGACACATTTTCCAGCGGCAAGAGAAAATCGTTACCGCTGCAATGTCATGGCATGTGGCGCTCTTAAGCCGTTCGCTCTCTGCAGGCAGAGAGCAACAAGCAGAAACCAGAAACCAGAAAGCTCAAACTGGTTGATCGCACCCGCCGTTGGCTTTCGAGCTCTCGGGCCACAAGCGCGCCGCAGTCCGATTCGTTGAGCGCTGAACGGCAGACGCAAGCGCGCGAGAAAGCCCCGACCGAGTGTTCGTTCGTTCGATTGATTAAAGCAAATGTCAAAATAGAACTAATCATTGCCGTGTGCCACTACACTTAGATGCCACCAGGAGCCATTGTTCCAACGTGCCACCTGGAAGTGAATCGCGAGTGCCCCAAAGTGGCTCCAAAGTGAAGTGAAACGCAGAAGCGCAATAATTGCATTGACAAAGGAAGTGAATAACAGTGAACGGGTTTCAGCATTTTCACCGGGCCAAATCCAAGAGGCGCCCGACTGCCGACTGGCCGACTGCCGACTCGCCGACTGGCGGCAGCGAATGCAATTCCGATTTCGAAATCCGAAATCCGAACGAGGCGAACCGAACAAAACAAAACGAAAGTCTGGCAAAGAAAGTGCCGGACACGGACACGGAGACGGAGACAAAAGTTCTGCGCCAATGAAATGTCCATGCAAAAATTCAATTAAACAGCAACTCCTAACGGCATTATACGAGAAGGTAAATTGAGTTGTAATTGATGACCCACCGGGATGGCCGTGAGATATGGTAGGAAAGCTTTAATTCGGTGAACAATTAATGAGGGAGAATGTTTAAACAACAAAATGAAAATTATTTGTTAACGCTTCCACTGTCGACACGTTGGCTGTGGTGGCTGTTGGTTGTTGTAAGCAACTGTAGCTGTGTGTGTTTTCACACTGTGTGGGCTTGGAAATAGGAAAGCTCGGACGCTCCGACACTCTGTAATTAATTGTTAAGAGCTGCGAACGGTTATGCAAGCCACACAGCTGGCCTACCCCAACGGACAAAGGGAATCAACCGAAACAGCTCATCTTAGCGGGCAATCGAAAAGCGTCGTCGCCTCCGCCAAATACTTTCTTTTTCGCCTCGATCTGGCAAAGCGATTCGAGTGTGTCATGCGTGCCATTGGACAGTGCCCGGGCCCAAGAAAGTCGCAGCGCGGCGGCAGTCAATCAACTGAAAAATTATGAAAATAATACGGCAAAAGGGGCTGGGCCTCGCCCATTTGTATCGTTTGCCTTTTAACGGGCTGTAGACCACATATTAATTACCGTTGAGCTGGACAGTGAGCCGTGGAAATGTGGTTAGTGGTGCAGCTAAGTGAAATGATATTCGAGTGCATCCAGCAAGCAGTCAAGAAACCCAGATGCCACCATCGAATCGAGAGTCATGTCTGTTTGCCGAGCTCCAAGTTGCAAGTTGCAATTTGCCCCACTCGCACTTTCATTTCAGCAGCGTGATCTGTGAGCTGTGAGCTGTGAGCTGCAGGCACTCTGCAAAAGACTTTAAATCCCGACAGACCGGGATGTGAACGACGTGCGGAAGATGGCAACCGCTGGGGAGGCAACTTTCTTGGCTGCCAGCAGTCTGAGTGCTCTCATATCCGACAGCTGCAGATCCAGGCCGACTTCATATGCCATCTACATTTACATTTACATCCACATACACATCCACATCCACACAAATCCAAGCACCACTTCCATATGGAAATTATGTTTTTTGGCTGAAGTCTGACATCTCCTCCCTCTGGAGTGGGAGTGAGAATGGAAAAATTCCACTCTTCATCCTGAGCCACCCTTGTAAAGGGCATGTCAAAATGTGTTTTCCGCTCACTTGAGCTTGACACTGAATTGGCTGTGAATTGAATGTTATTTGATGAACATTTCGTTGAACAGCGATTGCATCATTAACAAACTCAAAGCAATTTTAATTCGTGTTTACAGCACAGATTTAATGACATAAATGGCTTGCTGACTGCCTGCAAATGACGCAGATGAAACTTTCTAAAACAAAAGCGAAATGGCAGCGAATCACTGATACTCGTATGTAGATGTGCCTGATACCAGGGACTGTTGCCACTTCAAAAATGTTTAGACAAACGCGAGCGGCACAAGTGGCAGGCCAGGCACGCATGTAAATCACTCAATTTGAGTGAGTGGTTGGCGGCTGCGGGGAGCTGCGACTACGCCCCGAAAAAACAATCAGCGCCTAATGGGCCCGCGTACATTCCTGCCAAATTGGTAGCTAATTGGCGAAAACATCATTCCATTTGACGCAACACAGAGAAATTGCATTAACAGCGCACTGCGCGAGGGATCAGTGCGAATCGAAAGTCCTACGCCAAATCGATAAAAGCCATTCGAAAAAGGTCTTGAGAAACCAGCAGAAGCCAGGCAAAATGTCTCACGTAGAATCCATTAGTTTGTATTAAAGTCAGAGAGAGAAAGAGAACGGGTAGTGGAATGGGATGCGATTAGAAAGAAAGTTACTGCCCTTTCAGGATTGACATTACATTTTATGTTTGTGGCTAAATGTTTGACTTAAAGGCAGTCAAAGAGGAAGACTTAAAAATATAAGTGGCTACATACATAATACAAGGGACCGCTTACAGTAAAAATATGACTCTTTACTTTTATCGTACTTCAATTCCTGCTTAATGCAGAATTGGAGTGCCGAAAACGACGACGAAAAACGGAATAGCGAAAACTCTCCCTCTCCCACTCTCTCTCTCTCTGGCCGGCGTCTGCTGCGTTCTCGCGATCTCCTCTTTGTTCTGCTACCTGCTACCTGCTCTCCAGGGTGGGTCCGCGTTTGTGTATTCCACGCAGCCTGCACACATTTTTCGCTACCTGCTCTTGCACATACGTACATACATATGTATATACATCTGTATTTGCTTTGGTCTTATTGCAAAGCTGACCTTGCGAGTCGCACAGCAATCTTTGCTGTACAAACGCATGGTTGAGTGCATGTACCTGTCAAGCCAGAGATTAGGCGCTCAACCACGGCGCTCTTTAGATTTTAGAGCTTTGCGGTCGTTGCGGTCCAACTTGTTCTCGGCTGCGTGTGGACTTTGAACGCAGGGAACAGTTATGTCACACACAAAGAGCTATGATGCAGCCGTGGTTTCTGGTTTATGACCGCTCTTGACCGTTAGTGGACACCATTTGTCAACCAGCTACACTCTACAATCCACTGTCCACTGTCCACATCGCGACTTCAAACTGGTTGCTTATTGTACTTTGTCGCTTCACAGTGGCGGTGTCGGTGTCGTTGTCGTTGGACGAGCGTGTCGCAAATGATGATTGTCAGCTTATTAGCCTCATGACCCTTGCACTCTTATATAAAGCTAAAGCTAATGGATGGATATGTGTATGTAGGTATGTGCTTGGCTAGTGTGAGTGTGTCTGGTGCTCCCAGACCAGACCCCCGCATCTCCGCAGACTCCCATCACTCCGCATTACAGGCAGATGGGCGCAGGCTGTCAGAACTCTGTAAACTTTTGCGACTTAATTGAGAAACTTCGTTTTGGCTGAGCGCCGCTTCGCATAGAATAGGCCAGACTCCAGCCCCCAGAGAATAAATATGCTAAAACCGAAGCACAGAGGTAGCAACAAATCTGATTAAATGCTTCCACTGGCTGATGCTGATGCTGCTACCAAAAGTTTGCCTCTACTATGTATATCAGGGCGGAATAGTAGAGCATGAAGGCAGACCGAGCACAAACTATAACTAATTCCTACTTTTTACCTGCCCAAAGTCGGTCGGGAGACGAGGGAGGGAGTGCAAAAGGGTTCTCTGCTCGGTTCGAATAGTGCCAGCCGAGGCATCACTCGGCTGCATTGGAGACTGCCTGTAAGCTGAGGCAATTTCGTGTTCTAATTGTAATTGTTGAAACTAATTTGCATAAAGCGGTGGGGTATCCATGGCCCTGAAGCGAAGCACCCCACTGCATACTCCCCGTGTAATTAATGCAGTGCGGGCGTTGCGAGTGTAGAGAATGAGTTTTCCATCAGCATGTGGAATATTTTTGTAAAATATTTGGACATCTCCACGAGCAGCTGCATGGCAGAGCTTCCGACTGAACAAAAGCTTGCCAGAAGAGATGATAAATGATGCCCTTAAATGGCCAAGCAATGGCACATATTTATGTTTCCATTACTCTCTAGGGTTACTGGCTTACTGTCTGCTTATGTAAGGGAAGATGCAACTCGCTGCCAAAGACAAAGGGAATCGGGTAAATGTCGGGAGGGGGTCCGCAATCCGATTAAAAGAAACCGAGTTGCTCCATTCAAAGGCAAATCAGTCAACGGATCATTCAAAGCCCCAACTGACCTTCCCAATTTGAATGTACTTACCAGCCACAAAGCGCAGGCCACGACAAATTATTCTGAGATAAAAAATAAGTCTGAAGACTTTGCTGCAGCTCTTTTTTGACGCTTAAAGGGAGCTTGGGGAGACACAAGAAGCACCACATCCCACATCGAACTGCTGCATTCTTATTACCTGCCAACCTGTGCTCCAATTATGTTTACTGTCAGCTGCAGTTGGCCCTGCCTCTTCTTGCTGTGTTTGCGTTCAATTGTTTGGCGCAATTTGTGGCGATGAAGCCAGCAAACCGAGTTCTGTAATAGTCTTGCAAGGCATTTCGTTTGTGGACCTACTTGGCGTTTGTGAAAACGAAAGTGAAAATGCAACACGAATATAACGTGATCTGGGCGTCTGATGGCAGAGCCAAAGCCAAAGCCAAAGCCTTCATTGCGATGCTTCGCTGAAATGGTTGGGATGTGTAAATACAAACAAAACTGTGTACATTTTCACTTTTACCCCAGCAGAGTAAAGCATCAGTCTGACTGCCTCACTGGCTGACTGCCTGCCTGTGCCTTTCTGCCTCTCTGTCTTTCTTTCTGTCTGCAGCCTGGCAAAGGCAAGTAAAAACTTGGCGACGTGCACTGTTTGGCCAAGATACTCGTCAGTTTGAGGAGTTGGTGCTGGGAAGGCGGGCACGCGCCCTTAAACCGAGACACCCGTCAAATTCGCAACAGCAAATGATTTGTTTTTCGGGGCAGGCTGATTAGCGCCTTAATGCGCGGATTCGATGGGGGCACGGGGAGTGTAATGGAAGAAAGTTGTAGCAGCTGTGGCAGCCGCTACACAAGGCCATACGTAATGCGCTTATCAAGCATATCGTTTGGTTTCCCGTCACGCGCCTGGAGCTGCCTCCTCCTCTCCCCGACCACGGGAAATACAGCACTTTAATGGCATCATTCTTCATTCTTCATTCCAGAGAGAGACACAGAGAGAGTGCTGCGTCCGGAGTACAGGAGTACTCCCGAGAGACCCGTCGCGAACGTGTGTTGTGGCATGCAAGTGCAGTCACCGCGAGGATAATGGAAATGTTGAGCCAAGCCATCCCTGGGATAGGTAGCCGCCAGGCGAAATTAAAAGCAAACAGCCACAGAAAGCGACGCTGCTGCCCGCTGTTCTGGCTCGCTGCTCTGGCGCTCTGTCATCTCTGGCTGACAGCGACTGCAACTGCAACTGCAACTGCGACTGCGACAGCGTCCAACTTGGACGCACCCTACAGCCAGCCGCTGACAACGATGGGTGGTGCGCCCCGCAACGACGACAACACATTCCGACCCATTCTACCCATCGACATTAGCCCAGAGTTCATTTCCCGCAATGTGTTCACAAAGTCGGGACAATATCGCGTCTTTCAGCCAGCGGAGAGCGAGAGCGACCTTCGCCTAACCGTGGCCATGGGGCGTCGCAACTTCAAGCATCGACCAGAGACAACAGTTGCAGCCAGCAGAGTCGAGCCCAAGAGTGTTTCTCTAACAAAAGTGGAGCAGACTCCGCAGGGCAACAGCTCCGAGACTCTACAATCAGAGCTGAAGGGCCTGGAAGATCTGCTAATGGAATATGTGCAGCAGTTCTTCAGTCAGGGCAAGTATGAGCCGGCTCCTGGGCTGGTGTTGGCGCTGCAACAGAATCACACCAGTGGACACGGTCCGGACAAGGGACAGCGAAGTGTAAGAAGCATTTTGGACGACACCAACGTGGAGCTCAATGTGGCAAGAGCCTTTGAAAGTGCGCGGCTCTTATTCTTCAGCGGTAAGTGGCTGAGAAACCCCTCGAATTCAGTACACAAATAAACCATTTGTGCATTGCAGGCCTGAAGAAAATCATGTGGCCCATCTACATGGGATTACAGGTGCTGAAGAGCGTGCTCTTTGCCATGTTCCTGCCGACCATCGTGAGCAGCGTCACGCGGCTGATTGGAAAGGGTAAGAGGATGGAGATTTAACCAAAACTTTCCGTTGATTGCAACATTTGAACCCCCGAGCAGGCATTACGTCTGGGTCTGCCGGCTCTGTGCCTTTGTTTGTGCGGCCCATGGAGCCGCCGCAGGAGCTGGACTTCCGAGACAACACTTTGAACTTTGACGATGACAGCAAATTCGCCTTGGCAGACGACACCAAAACAGCAGGCGCTTACGAGTACAATGCAGGTGGGTTCGCAGCTAAATTCTGTAGTGATATTCACAACTAAACAAGCTTTTGGTGCACGCTCCACAGAGGCCTCGCAGCAGCAGGCGCTGTACGCCAACTTCAATGGCAATTCAGTCAATCAGGCGACACTCTCGCGCTATGGCGGCCAGCAGATGATGCAGGACACTTACCTCAATGCGCTGCAGAGCATTGGAGCGGCATCCTTCAAGAACTCGCAGAGCCTGTCCGGGTCCTCGAGTGCGGCGGCAGCTGGAGCGGCGCCTGGAATGAACAAGAAGCCAACACCGGCGGTGATGAACACATTCCAGAGCTTCCAGAAGGTGCCCAACTCCTCGCTGCTGCTGTCCAACTACGATCCCTTCTACAGTCCGCTGCTGTCGCGGCTGGACTCGGTGTTTGCCCAGCTCAAGCTGAACTCGGCGAACGAGGCGTGCCGCGAGAAGCTCATCTGCCTGATGTACTCCAATCCCGCGAAGTATGCCCCATACAGCAACCTGGTGTCCGCTCAGCTGAGTCGGTGAGTACGGGCCGCGGCCTGAAAGTATGCGCCAGCAAATGAATTTCCACATTAATCTCAACACAACTTATTATGGTTTCCACTCCGCAGGGAACTAAACGAGCTGCGTAAACCCACCTCCGATAATCCGGAAATCCTGCGCTTCTTCAAGTACATGCGAGCGGCCAAGGACGGGCAGGATGGCGTCGACTGCGAGCAGTCGTTTGTCAAGTGCAAGGAATTCAAGGACTTCGAGAATCCCGCAATGCTTTCCACCTACAACGACATCAACAAATTGGTTCAGGCTCGCAAACTGACGTAGACGAGGAGCAACATTGTTGGAATGACAGCACAAAAAGTTCGCAAAGTCAATGTCAGGCTGATGCCTGATGAGTGGAAGTCTGGGGGAAGCCGGTGGTGGCCTGGGACTCGAGCTGTAATTATGCAAATCGTACTTTAGATAGCCTAGCCTAGCCTAGCCATATATACAAGTTCGTTAGACGCTCCACCGGAGGCAGCAGCTGTCGGCAGACGCCTCCAGAGTGGCGCCTGGCAGTGGGGGTTTTGGGTCTAGGATGGGTCCCGCCAACAGGGGAACTCCATTAACATGCTGTAAATAGAAAACTTTTAGTTGTTTAATTAGCAGGAGCTGGAGCAGGAGCAGGAGCTGGGGCACACCCATCAACGAATGATGCTGTTATTTTTAGCCATTTAGAGCAATTTTCGCCTAGTATTTATTTATAGCCGTAACCTAATGCTTAACCTATTTATTTTGTATGTTTAATAATTTATTCCATTGTTGTTGTTATCCCAAGTAGTCATCGCCAGTTGTTCAGAGCAAGCAAATAAAGTTAATTTGATAAATTGAAAGGCCAAGAAAACTTAAAGGGAAAACCTGTCCATTGTCAAATGATTCGACATGAGCTGAGGCTGCTGATTGGCTTCTGTGTGGATTCAATTGATAATTCATGATAAACAAATTATCCTTTCGCTTCCGCAGCACTCCGTTTTGTTGGCTGCATAATTAATTCCCACAATTAAGTTTGTTTTGCATTTATTGAAACAATAATTGGACCCTTTAAAGGCTGCAAATGTGAAAATTCCCAAAATGCGTTCACTCCTGTTGTTGCTGCGTAAAATAATTATTATTGCAGCAATCCAATTGAGTTCAATTAGCTCCGTCAATAAGCTAATTGACCGACTTTTCATTCACTCACTGGAGAAGAGAACTCCTCACTGGTGGACTCTGCTCACACACTGATTGAAAATAGTCATCGCACTTGCATCAGAATGGCTTTCCCGCTGCAGCAAAGTCCTTTGCAGAGGGCACGGGGTGAATGCAATTGCCAATTGTGCAATTCATTTGCATTGGATTGGCAGTGGGTGCCCCACAGGCGGGGGGGCATTCGAGGAGCCGCTGCCCTGCCCACGGACACGCTGAACCATTTCCGCCTGACGCTCGCCTGCGGTCGCTTGCGGGAATTGCGAGGGGGCCAAGCAAACAGCTCGAGCAGCGGAGATTGCAGTGGCAGTGGGAAAATCCCCCAGTAATGTTGCGAGTTTCGGGGGCTTTTCCCGGTTGCAAGTAGCTCTGGTGGCTCCCACCGGTAATCACGCCAGCTTTAGCTCTCGGCCAGTGGGGCACCGCACACAGAGCCACGCCAGAGACAGACACTTGTCTATGCTGATGCAGCATAGTTTGTTCACATTTGCCATGACTTTTGCCAGCATGTGCCCCTTGTGGGCGTTTGCAAAACGGAGCAGCAGCAGCAGCAGCAGCAGCAGCAGCAGCAGTAAAAGCAATCATTGCCTGTGTGGCAACCAGTCGAAAATTACATAATCCCTGGCTGGGAAGTGACGTACCTTTTCCCCACATGTGTGGATGAGTCATGAGTTGCTGTTGTCTCTTTAAATCAAACTCAAATTAAAGCCAAGGCCTCGACGTGCGCCACAATAATTTTTGGGGTTTTCTCAAGGCGCTCTCCCAGGTCGGGTCGGAACGGGCCAGCCGGACACAAGTCGTTGACGTCTTCGCACACCTTCAGGCCCTCATCGATCGATCGGGTATCTCGACCCCCAACCTACCTCAAGCTCGAGCGTGATGATCGCGCGCCAGCGGACTCCTCGTCTGCCTCTCAGCCATCATCATCAATGTGGGCTGGAACCGACGACGCGTCTGGGCCATTGTCTCTTTTTTGTTTGTGTGCTGCCACTGCTGCTCCGGTTGCTCTCCTCTGCCACTTCTCACATTTCATATAAAATCTTTGCCGGCCAGCAGCCAAGGCACAGTCGCTTGTAGGCCAGCAGCAAGGCAAAGTCACTTGAGGTCCACCGCTAAGGATTATCCAAACAAAAACACCCGCAAGCGCTTATAGGAAACAGCAAAAGGTAAACCACCAGTGAAAACGGCAAAACGGCAAAATGGCAAAACGGCAAAAGTGAAGTGAAGTGAAAATGAACTGACAGAAGCGTTGCGTAATGAGCCAAGATGAAATGGCAGTGGTCGGGGCAATGTGTTATTACATATTACCAAATTACAGTTGTGCCCGTGAGCTGTATTTATCTGCAAGCCGAACCCCAAATTATGGCTCCATCATTTCCATACATCTTTCGCTTGGTGTTGTAATGCCCGTCCACATTTCATTGACCTTCGATGGCATATGCAAATGCGAAAGCCAAACAAATAAAACAAACACGACACAGTGCCCAAATTTGGGGACTCGCTTTCAACATCGCAGCAGCAGCATTCGCAGTCCATTGACTGAAGAAAAGATGGCCATGAATAATGAATTTAGTTTAGTAATTCATTCCGCGAATTGGGCTATAAAAATACTCCCTTTAATGGCTCAACTAGCCTCGGTCTAGAGGGTATCTTTAGATATCTTATTATCACTAATCACTACTGAATTAGCAGAGATTATTCAGGATGTAGTTAATGCACGATACAGACGTGTATTTGACATGATCATTCCACACTTTATGTAGCATACTTTCAGCTGCCAAAATGTAAAGTAAAACTCATGTAGATAATGTGCCAAAACCTCCATTTCGCTTCCTTCTGCCCGTCACACAAATCTAATTTAATCACCAGAATTGTTCTCGCAAAAGTTGCAACATTAAAAGTTTTCCTAATGGCCCTAATTTCCTCATGGGCAAACTAGTTCCAACAGCTGTTTAATTATACTGACATCAATTTATCAGCATCAAAAAATAGTTTTGTGTGGCAGGAAATACCAGGAAATCAAGAATCATTTTTTCATCGTTTGTCAGACGTTTGGCAGAACCAATACGAAGGGCAATGACTGTTTTATGGCTTGCCACATTAGTTGTGAATGACCAAACAGCGACCCAAACCCACATTTGGATTGACGAACAATCGGCACACTGATGAGTGCGAATCCAACAAAAATTCGTGGCATGCCGTGGAGGCTAGGCGCCAGAGCAGCCCCTGGAGCATAACGAACTGATTCGTGTCTGAAGTCAGCTTGGCGTCAGACGACACGACAGTGGGACAAGCATCTATCGATGAGTACAGTGGTCATAAGTGGGACTAAATCTATCCATTTAAAGATGCTTCTCTCACAGAATCCGAAATTAAATTAGTCGCACATAAACCCAATTTAGCCCATTGTACGTCCGCATCGAAAGAGCATCAAATTAAGCGCGCTTTAATGCATTTCTGCCTGACCAAACTTTTGTGGACCTTTTTAAAGCACATTAGGTCCGCTGTTTATGCGTTTTCACCCAAAAATTCAATTACGTGCATTTGCCGCCTCATTGCTGCCAAAGGGTTAAGCGACCGAGCCTCCGAACTCAAACCGGTTTGGCATGCATTTCGCATTTCACTTTGGGCGCTCGTCTCGAACCCAACACGCATACACTCAGACACACATTCATACACAGAGCTCTGGTTCGGTTTTTGTGGCTTTCCTCTTTGCGCTGCGCCCGCATTGTATTTTGTTTTTGTTTTTGTTTTTTCGTGTTTTATTTTTCGGCCACAGAAAGCTTAGTGCTCAGTGCGAGACATTTACAGTTAGACTGAACAGCAGCTGCGAGTGAGCGAGCGGCGTGAGAGCTGAAAGCGAGAGTTATTACGACTCAGCGTAAGCGTTTGAATTAACGGTTAATTGCAGAGGCTGAAGCTGCGCCTCTGTCAGGCTGAGGAGTGCATGCCAGCTGAGAAGTGTGTCAGCTGTCGGTGCCGTTAAACCACTGAGCGTAAAAGTTGCCAAAAACAAAAAGTGTGCGTCAGGTTTTCGGAGTTGTTTTGGCATCGCGTGACAGTCTCAAACATAATCGAACGTTGAGAGTGATAGAGAAAACTTCGCCTGACACTCTGCTACCGGTTCAGTGTCAATTAAGCGAACGAAAAATTGTTTATACACATCTGCGGCTGAGGCTGAGGCTGAGGCTGAGACGTCAACAACAATTATTGCGGGTTCGGTGGCAGTGGACGTGTTTAAAACTGTTTCTTCTGCTGCTTTCAGCCATGGCAATGAGAGCTCTCGCCTTGCTGGCCATAGTCGGCGCAGTCGGCATGGGCCTGGTGGCCGGCGAAGGTCTGCGTCTGCCCGACCAGCAGTCGTCGAACAACATACAGCAGGTGTATGCGCCGCAGCCGCAACAACAGCCACAGACACTGCAATTCCAGCAGCAGCCACAGCAGACCGGACCCGCTGGAGTGGGTGAGGAGCGTGGTCGCTCCTCCATTTTGAGCATCTTTGGCCTGGGAGGCAGCGACAACGATCCGTATCTGGCGCGCACCAACAGCAACTGTCTGGGCGGCGATCTCTCCGAGTGCTTCAAGACCCAAGCCCTCAATACGTTCGATGAGATTTTCTACAGAGATCAGTACCGGTAAGGATGGACACCCTTGATTCACTTTCCAGCTGATTGACTAAACTCCCACCAACTCTCTGCCTCAGCCTCTCGGACTTTGCTCGCGTCGTGCGTCTGCCCGAGACCCAGCAGCGTTCGCTGCTGCAGGAGCCCTTCGAGTACTCGGAGGAGCCACGTGGCGAGGACGACGACTGGAATCTGCTGGTGAAATTCGCCCTGCGCCGCGCCGAACGGTAAGCTGTCACAATTAACCAAATGACTGCGGCTCGTGCCGGATGCAAATGAATTTGGGTCGCCACGTCAAAGTCGCCCAAGTTTATGCATAAAATATGAGATATTTATGAAAATGCAAATTCTCATTCTCTGGCACGTTGCCGTCCTCGTCCAACAGCTTCATCAAGTCCACGGCTCTGGAGGTGGAGTGGCCCGAGGAGCTCACCGAGGCCGGCCGCTACGAGGCCCGCTTCATTGGCAACGACATTGATGATGAACTGGATGTCGTTGAGAACAAGCGAGCGGGTGCCTTCTGTAAGTCCACAAAGACATTAAATATGAATGCTGACTGCCGGCCGCTAATCAACTTTCTCGACCTTTTCTGTCCCTTCGGTTTTGCAGCTCGCAAGAAGCTCAAGAAGATGATTATTCCCCTGCTGTTGGTGCTGAAGATCTTCAAGCTGAAGCTGCTCCTCTTCCTGCCCTTCATTCTGGGCATCGCTGGCCTCAAGAAGATCCTCGGCCTGGCTGCCATCATCCTGCCCGGTCTGTTCGCCTACTTCAAGCTCTGCCGGCCTCCAGGCGGCGTGGGCGGTGCCTTCGGCGGCGGCCTCTCCGGCCTCTTTGGCAGCAAGAACACCTTCCCCGAGTACACGCCACAGGGCGTAGGTGCGGCCACGTACTACCATCACCATGAGCACTTCGAGGGCGGCGGCCATGGCGGTCCACCCGGCTCCTTCCCCTATCGCCAGGAGCCGAGCTTCGCGAAGCCCTACACTGATTACTACAGCAAGAGCTACCAGGGACAGGGCCAACAGCAGCAGCAGCAGCAGGTGGGCGGCAACTCCGTCAGCTTTGGCGAGCCCCATGAGGCGGCCTACAACGGCTACTACGGCCGCAACACCGGCAAGGACATTGCCGCCGAGCCCCAACAGCAGCAGCAGCAGCAGCCACAGAAGAGCTAGAGAAGGTTCCACGGCCCGTTGTTATTTATTTGGCCCTTGGCCTTGTTGCATTCCTATAAGAATATTTATTACGCTAATTGTAAATAAAACCCAAAACTTTCAATTGAAAATGGGCCTCGTGGCGTGGCGGCATTTAATTAATGGTACAAATTTCACTGCGAAATGCTTTTCTGCGCTGCTCTGCTTTTTGCTGGCTTTGAAGTTGGCTACAAATAAAATGCAGCTTTTAATTAAGGCAAAGAAATGCCGCGGCGAGAAAACTGAGCAAAAGTGGACTGGCGTGTTTGTTGGCAGCGCGAGGGTTGCTGCAAGAGCTCTGCAGATATCGAAATTGTAATTGCAGAAAATGCTGAAAGCTGGAGAATAATTATGTTTCATTTATACAACAATGGGGAATCAATTCGGCTGAAACTTGCCTTGCATAATTGAACCTTTAATCAAACGCCTCTCGTGCTTGCCTGTAGATAGTAGTTCAAAGTCAATGCCAAAGCCAAAGCCAAAACACCAATGCAGAGGGGCTGCTGTCTGGCGCGTTGTCAACGCTCCGCGGAGTCCGCGGAGGAGTCGACTGGACCACATTTTCCAAAAGAAAGCGCTTCTCAGTTGAGAAATTGTTATGACTCTCAGCCAGTGGTCAGAGCGGGGAGCAGTGAGGAGACAGAGGGGGATTGGGCGGAGGTATTTGTGATTTTGGTGCGGTTTGATTTGGGAGCCGCAACAAAAACACAAAATAGAAATGCACAACCAGCGCGTTGTGGCACATGTGGCCGGGAGAGCGGTGAGCAAAGAGCAGAGCAGAGGCAACGGTTTATGGACAGATCGAGTAGCGGTTTGTGCGCCCCACTGCCCACTCTCCTGCGGCCTCATCGTGCCACTTTTGTCGGGCAGTGTCCACACTAGCCTACTTCCAGCAACTGCACAAAATGAAACACCTTTCGGCTGAGGCTGAGCGCCAATTTTGGTGCACGATAAATGGCCAGCGGATGGGGCACCCGTTCCGCCCTTGCCATCAATTATTTCCACGCTTTACGCTTAATCTTCTCCGTCTGACAGCAGGAGGCGTTTGTGCATGCCAATAATGGGGATTGCCCATTGATTGCCGCGGCACAGTGGAATTGGCAACAATAAAGGGCGCTCCCAGAGCAATGGGAAATGTAAACACGAGCTGTGCAGAGGCGCTCCCCCCTTTGTGGCTGTTTGCGGAGGTGCAAAGAGTGGGTGGAGAGCTGACATTGAGGGGCTGCCAGGCAGCTCTTTTGGCTCATTTTTAAAGGTAGAATTTTCTCCCTGCCACTCCCACTCCCGCTCTGTTTTCCCCTGTGCAAATGGAGGAGAGAAGTTTTCTTTCATGTTTGCATGCGTGTCGTCAATTGCAGTCTTCGTTTCCCTGAAAGTAACTTCCGCCTGCCCTGCCCCTGACTTTGTCTCTGAGTGTGGGAAAATTGGCATTTTTTTGTGGTTGGGAATTGGGTCTGTCGTTTACTTTCTGTTGGCTTTGTTCTCCCACACGCAAAGACAACAAAAGCAAGAATCCAGCCAGAGCCAAGGCCATAAAGTGGCAGCTTCCCAGCAGCATTTGGGGAGCATTTCCCGAAACTGGCCAAACGGGTCCGTCTCCGGCTATCGCTGAAGCTGAAGGCACAACACTCTGCTCGCTGCTCGCTGGTCTCTGGTCTCTGGTCTCTTGTCTTTTGGGTACGGATGGGACCAGTTCGAGGCTGCAAAAACAAACGCCAGCTGAGGCAGCGACTGCGGCAGAGGCCTGTATTCTGTTTGGCCGCTTTTCATATAAAATCAAAGTCGCTGGCGGAAAATTCGCATTAGGTTTTCCATCCAGACGACGATGTCAACGGCGGCAGCAGCAGCGGCAGCGAACACGAACGCGTGACATTAAAGTGCAGAGCAGACGAGAGTGTAGACGCGGGCTGTGTGTGTGTGCGTGTGCGTGTGTGTGTGTGTGTTACAAGTGCTGAAAGGATACAAGGCAGAGGCCAGAGGCCAGAGGATATAGTGAACCAAATACACAATCAGAGAACAACAAGGGCATCCGATACCCGAAACAAAAGACATGCAAACATTAAAGGTCTGCACGCTGCTGGCGCTCTGCCTCGTGCTCGTCTCGGCCAGGGGCAGCAAGCGGAGGGATGGCAGCCTCACGGTAAGGTCCGGGCCAGGGCCGCACAAAGTTGTGCGATAACATTGGGCATTAATTGCCAGTGACAAGGATACCCGAAGGTCCCCCAGTGTTTGTTTTATCTGCAAAAATAGAACGGGTCTGCTCCCCCCAGCATTCGTTGTGCTAAGCTCCATTTCCGCTTCAATTTGCAGATAACCGACGATGAGCGGCGCAACATTGAGGACTTTCTGCTGGCCAAGCTGAAGCAGAACTGCAGGCAGGAGGACGACCGAGCCTGCAGGATGATCAAGATGTCCATTGTCATGAATCACCTCTACCTGAACACTCGCCTCGACCTGGGCGACCGCGTGAAGGTCACCGAGAACTGGTAAGTCACTGGGGGGAGGGGGCTGGTGATTCCCAGGGTCCAGCAGCTAGACAGCTAGTATTGTTGCATCCGCAGGAACATCTCAATGGTGCCCGATGACCCGGAGGTCAATCAGCTGCTGGCCCGGTCGATGGGCTCCGACGAGGAGACCTTCGCCCTGCTGATGGCCAACAAAATGTGGAAGTACATCCGCTCACGTTCGCTGCGCTACAAGTTCACGGACAATGCCGACTTTGTGATGAGCAGCGACCCCGAGGGCAGCCTCAACATCGGCGTCTCCGTGCGGCCCCTGGAGGCGCTGCAGGAGGGCCGCGGCAAGATGAAGAACATGGGCCCCATGCTCATGATGATGGCGGCCAAGACGGGCATGGTCGGTGCTCTGCTGCTCAAGGGCCTCTTCCTGCTGGCCGGCAAGGCTCTCATTGTGTCCAAGATTGCCCTGCTGCTGGCGGTCATCATATCGCTGAAGAAACTGCTCTCCAGCAAGAAGACGATTGTCGAGGTGCCCTCGCATCACGACAGCTACAGCTCGGGCTGGGCGCGTGCCTTCGATGGCTTCGTGGAGGGACTGGTGGATGTGCCCGCCGACATACTCGCCAAGGAGATGCAGCAGCACCAGCAGGAGGCCCAGGACATGGCCTACACTGGCCAGCAGCCAGCGGCCCAGCTGCCGCAATAAAACTTGGCCCAAGTGCAATTCATTCCTGACTCTCTCTCTCTCTCTCTCTCTATGCATTTCCTTCTCTTTGAGTCTTTCTTTCTCTCTCTATAAAAGGCAGGCAAGCAGCTTTCTCCGCTTTCTCTCTCTCTCTCTCTCGCTCTCTTCCTTCTGCTGACTTTCCTTCACTCCGACTTTCTCCCTCTCTCCCTCTCAGCTCTTTCACTCATTTGTAATGTATTTACACTTATTTATTTATTGATATTTATTGCATAAATAAAATTAAATAGAATTTCGGAACAACTTTGTGTCCAATTATTTAATTTGTTTTCCTTTTTTTGTGGCTTTTTGTAGCATTTTGCCTGCTAATTACGGAGACTCTCGAACTAGACTAAATGTGTGCGCCAGGTTTGCGCTGAACTAAGAACAAATCAATAAATATTAAGCATAATAACAATAACAATACACAAGCTCATTGAATGTTAAATCAAAAGCAGCCTAAAGCACTCCACGTGGCCGCGGGGTCCGCTGGGAGCCCTCACGTGTCACGTGTCACGTCCGCTGTTCCTCCCCCATATGGCAGCAGAACAACAGTAGCTCCTTCCATCCTCCATCCTCCATCCTCCAACCTCCATCCTTGCCCTACTCAGGAGCGGTAGTAGGGCATGTGCGGCTGGACGTAGTTGTAGATGAGCGGCCGCCTGGCTGGAGTGGCTGCAACACACAGAGATTCGAGTACATAAATATTAGCAGTTCAGGGTGTGTCCAGCTGGACTAATGGGCCCCCTCTTGGCTGTGCTAAATCTCAGTCAGCTGAGAAATATGCAGCACACACAGCAGCGGCCTTGACATTTGTGGCCAAAGTTTGCAGGAAACTTCAGCGCTCAGCTCGCTCCAAAAGTATGCAATTTTGCGGGGAAAAAACTGCGGCCAAGCACCCAAAACCAAGTAAGGGGAAACGTGCATGACTTTGTGAGCTTCGGAGAGTGCTTGTGTGCAAATCAAAGATATAAATACGCTGCTCAGTAATCATCATCGTCCGCATGGTCATCCTCTATGCTGGCCTCGGCCGCAGCGGCTGCGACAGCGATGGATGTGTGGGCCGGACGTCGGCCACGATATTTGGCTAACCCCCAAGCAGGCCCACCTGTAAGAGCGAGGCACTGCATCAACTTACACTTACTCTTCGCCATCCAAGAGTCCTCACGTTTGATTTTGTGGCCCAGTCCGCCCAGCCCGCCCAGAGCTGCCAGCACCTGGGTGTGATTGCTGCCGTCGCTGGAGACCTGCGAGTGCAGATGACTCTCCGCGCCGAAGCTCTCGAGGCCGGGATGGCCGGGATGCCCGGACAGCTGGCCGCCGCCGGCCATGGCCAGATGATGCAGCGAGCCGGGATACATTTCCGGCGAGATATCGCCGCCATGCAGGCCACCATAGTCCATGCCATAGGGCATCATGTAGGGCGTTTGCTCCGGGAACTGGTACATCATCCTGGGGGAAAAGAGAGCCAGCAAGTGGATAAGGAGATTTGTTAGTGTGGCTCCGGGCAGACTCACTTTTCACTGGCATTATCCATGAGCTTCTTGATCAGCACAATGGCCGCCACGACAAACGCAATCTTGGACAGAATGAGAGCCTTGAGAGTGAGCAAACCCACCGCCTTGGCGGCCACCATTGTCCAGCCGAAAGTGGTCGCCGCCAGGTACATGGGAATCAGCATCTGGAACTGCTTCTTGTCCTGGTGCTGATGTCGTCGACGCAGCAGTCCACCGCCACCGCCACCGCCATTGTCGCCACCCAGCAGGCCACCGCCGCCTCCAATGCCACCGCCGCCTCCCCCGCCGCCCAGCAGACCGCCTCCACCGCCGCCCCCAAGCAGGCTTGCGACACCGCCAGTACCCTGCAGCCTGCCTGTAGATTTGAATTTGGGAAAACAGAACACGTTTTAGGCTTTACGGCCATAATGGCTGCGTATACGTAATATTTGGAGCCGGATTGGGGTTGGGATTTGATGCGAGGTTTGATATGATTGATGGGAGAGGACAGCACCTCGGATGTGTATCGAAATGGGGATAAATAATGGCCAAGTCTAAAGTGTTGTGACACATGTGGAGCCTGTCGGGGGAGCCTGCCTTGTGTGCGCTCTGCATACCAATTGGCAGGGGCTGGCTCTCATTCATTACCTGTGCCGCTGGCGGCCTTCTTTAGCAGCGCCACCTCAATGTAATCGCTGTCCTCCTCCGAGCGCTGCACACTAAACACCATGGGGCCGACGGGCACACGCACGGCATTGCCGCTGACAAAGTCCATGAAGCTGGCCAGTCCGCGGCCCGTGCCCCATTTGTGTTTGTGCGTCGTTGCCTGGTCCAGCTCGGGCAGCCGGACGAGGTCGAAGAGGCCCAGCTTGATGGTCTCGCCGCGCCGATACGAGGCCATGATGCCATTGGCCACGCCGTACAGACAACTCGCATTGTTGGCGCACTTCCAGCTGAGTTTATCCAAGAGGTCCGTGTTCTCGACACTGCCGGACGGATTGAGCGCGGGCTTTGACTGGGCGTGGGAGTGGGCCTGCGAGCGGGTGGCAGACTCCTCCGAGCCCAGCCCGTTGGCCGCGTGGGCCCCGCTGCGCTTGTGGATGGCCGCGGTCGCTGGCTGCAGGCCGCTCAGAGCCAGCAGAAAACAGCTGGCAGCAAGGTAGTGCAGCATTTTTGTGGTTCACTGTTTAGACTTTTGGGTTTTGGTTTTGCTTTTGTTTTTCACTGCAGCAAGGACGAGAACGAGAGCGAGAGCGAGAGCTAGAGCGAGCGAGCGCACGGCGTATCCTTCACATGGATCTAAGTGTCGAATGGGACGCGAAACGCTGGCAGTGATGGATGATGCAGCGCCTTGCAACACGCTGCTGTAAAGACTAATTACTAGACGTTGCATGCAACTCAGTTTTATTGGAGCAGCAGTCGATGCAGTGGCAGCCTCGGCCGCTGCGGCAGCATCCAACAACGGCTGCGTGCAGCACCAGAGGCTGCCACTAGCAACAACAACAACAACAACAACAACAAGGCGCTGGCAAAACAATTTTGCTTCAGTTTTGATTTCAAGTCAACCAGCTGAGTGACGGCCATCGCTCAGCAGGCAGCGTCAGAAATCAGAAATGAGACTCCGACTCCGCAGTTGCGCGTCACTCGCTGCACAGTGGAGCAGACAAGGCAAACAAGGGTGAAAAATCTTCGCAGAATTATGTTCAAGATTTGTCCATCATTTTCCACCATGCAGCATCCTCATAATCAATACACTAGACCCCCAAAAAACACTGTGAATATTTCATACGTGGAATGTTTTTTAAACTTTTCGTTTCGAATATAACAAGGAACTGAAAGTCCACTAAAAGGAGTGCAAGTACTCTCCAATAGTGACTGGCAGGGCTTTATCTTCGCTGCTCAGCAAACTCTGCATCTAATTTTGCCGCCGCTAGGGCGCACTTCGCCCCACTGTGCCCCGGCCCAGAGCATTCGCCTGCCCGAAATTCGCTTTGTTTTGCATGCCGAAAAGGTCAAAGGGTGGTCTCATTAGCTGCACAGGCGCAGGGGCAGGTGCATATGAGGGCAGGGCGTGGTCTTCGCGCTGGCGTCCACGGCATGTGGCCGCTGTTTCCACTAACGCGGCTAATTTACTGCTCATTAATTTGCTCAGTAATTTGCGAGCAGGCAAAAGTAAAAGCAAGACCAGGCACACACTCGACACTCGACAATTAACTCGGAAACGGGAGGGGAAACGCAGCGGGAGTGGGACTGGGACTGGGACTGGGGGTGCAGCGGGAATATGTGCAAGCATGTGGGCATGGGCCGCAGCACTCGCAATAAATAAATAAATAATAATAATAATAAAAAGAAAAGTGAAACGAAGTATTAGCTCTCGTTTTTCATAGATCGCCGCGCGTCTGCGGCTCGTTTCAGTTACATTCTGTTGCACACTCTGGAGGGGGAGCGGGGACGGGGGAATAAAACACTTTTCGTCAGCGGGCTAATAAATATTCACTTTTCGAGGCAGCAGTGCGAGTGAGCGAGGTAATTGTGGCAGAGTGGCAGAGTAGCAGAGGCAGCGATGTCTGCAGTGGCAGTGGCAATCAGACCTCGACCATGCTTGCTGTGGCACCATTTGGCAGCCATTCATTTGAGATATCCATCTGCACTCTCCCCAGCATCACAATCTATTGTAATAACCATAATCTGGGCAGCCCACAGCATTGGCAACTTGACACCCAATAGCCAAGAGCAGAGAGCAGAGAGCAACGGCAATGGTCAATGGCAGCGATGCCCACAAAAGCACAAGAAATGCGACTCGAAATGCGAGTAGCTTGCCAAGAAAGTGAAGCAGCAGCAGCAGCAGCAGCATCTGCCACGCAGTTGCAGGCCAAAGAGTGGACCAAACGACTCTCTAGCAAACTGTTGCGGGCGGTCGGTAATCCAATGCCCCATTCATTCATCCATGCTCCACATTTCTGCGCCTCTTTGGGTTAAGGATCCATTGTGGCCTCCTCATAATTGGCATGGCTTTCAATGTTGCAAAGGAGGTGGAACGAACGACACTAAAAGTTGCCATCAAAGTGAGGGCCAAAGGCTAGCTAGCAATCCTGCCACTAGCAGTTGAAATCGTTATGGAGAGTTGCAGGAGTTGTACAACTGGCAAAGGACTTGCCATAAGTTGTGTGCCACTTTGTTTATGCCAAAACTTGGTCTGTTTTTGTCACAGAAGGCAACAGCTGCAAGAGCTAAAGTTGAAGCTGGATAGCCATTACAGTTTTTGGCTTTTAGCTAAATCCTTGCCAAGGAGCACTCAGCTGCTCCTTGCACTTGCACTTGGACTTGCACTTGGACTTGTCCAGGCTGACACTCAAATTGGAACACTCTGGCAGTCAAGAGCTTTGTTTTCTTTGCAATCATTTTGTTTGTTTTGCTGGCAATTACGTGGCATCCATCTGTTGTGTGCAACTTTATTTTCACCGGCACAATTTTCGCTCTGCCACTGGCGCAAGGGGGCCTCGCGTTTGTTTGTTTTCTGCGGTTTCTGTTTTTCCACAGCTGGCTTATCGATTGCCTGAGCCCAGCGACTCGTTTAATTTATTTGAATCTAATTGTTTTACAATTAAAAACTATTTCTTTATGGATTTCACCCGTGCGTGTCCTAAGTAAACACAAACTTGCCTTGTTGAGGCAGCGCTGATTTGTTTATGCAGTTGTGGGCGTCGCTACTTGGGCCCTCCGGGGCTTGGGCTTGTCAGTTATTGTTGCTGCCGCAGGATACAGGATGTGGCAGTGGTCCTTGTGGTTGATTGCCTTCCGGCGTGCAAAATTGTTTGTTGCATACTTTGCGGCCGGAAGAAGTTTAATTTCCCGCTCTGTGGCATACTTTTAGGGGCAGACAGACACACAGTAGAGACTCGTACATGAAGTGCGGGTAATTTTGAGACATATTCCATGGATAAAACTTCAACCTGGAGCATGGCAAACATTTCGTATTGAAGCGAACTCCAAATAAATGCCCAGCGGCTGCAAGTCACTTTGAACTTCCCTTTCGACATGCACACTCCACCTGCCCCACCCAACATTTACTTGACAGTTTCCTGCTTCATCATTCAATCAACTCGATTCAAGGCACAAGCAGCGCCCTTTGTGCGGCAAATGAGGGACACTTCATGATGATGCTGCACAACAATCAATCAGAGAGAGAGACCCGCCACAATGGAGGCTCCCTCCCACCTCAACTGAAGCGAATCGAACTTTCCTCCACTTCCACTTGCAGTGAACCTGAAACTGAAGCTGAAGCTGAATCTGAATCGGAGTCTCAGTCTCAAGCTGATGCTGATGATCTGCTGCCAAGGGGTAGAGAGAGACTTTCTTTTTATGGCCCAAACCGAAACCGAAACCGAAACCGCCACCAACAACGTAACGAGTTGAGATCAATTTTTGGTTCAATAACGTATTGACTTGACTTGCCGCTCTTTGCTGTTGTTGCGGTAATGTATTTTGGTTGTTGTTTTTTTTTCTACTACAAAATTTCCACAAAATGTGTGCCTGTGTGTGTGCCTGTGTGTGTGCCTGTGTGTGTGTGTGTGTGTTGAACAACAATATGATAAATATAAAAATTAATACATTGAGAGTGAAAGTTATTGGTTTTGGAGCGCAGTCGATCATCGAATGATCATCACCCTCAAATGGAGCAGAGAAATGCCTTCTCTGCTGCTGATTTCTATCCGCTGCTCCACCTTGGGCCAAAGTCACGTTAACTTGATTAATAAGCTTGCTTTTTGGTATTACAAAATACCCAAAAACGAAGAGCAGCAGACTGTGCCTCCTTCTAATTAAATGATGAACCCTCTGGGTCGAGCGACCCATTTTTATGACCGTTGCATGACCAGTCCAGGCCAGGCCAGTACAGGCCCAACGCAAATTGCCACTAAACGTCTTCATTGCTCATCTTTGGGGCGGGGTAACTTTCGCTTTTTTTGGCTTGCACGCCTCTGCAGTGGCGTGTCGACTAATAGAGCGACGGAGAATCGCAGGCAGATCGTGCTGGAGATGGGTGTGTGCCAGGAACAAGCCCAGCAGCAGCACTTTGACCACTTCTAATTTGTATAATTTGCTGCTGGCAAATGGAGAGCTGCCACCGAGTTGAGTGAACCATCTCCCAGCCAGACGGAGAACCAGCGGAGCGCATCCCACGGAGCGCCGCTCGACCAACTGACCGTTGAGAAAATTGAAAATTGCAACGGCCACTGAAGAAGAAAATTGCACAGCGAACAAGAGCCGAAAGAGAACGCAAAGCTGAAAGCATTTTTCTTTCTTTCTGTTTGCAGGAGCCCTGGCCTGCTGGCCATTGTTTTAGTTTACAATTGGAGCCACAATTGGCGGCACATTTGTGACAATTTGGAGCTCTCCGCGATGCTTCAGTGGCCATTCTGGGAAAGTGGAACCCCGACTATAAAATATGACCAGTGGATTGTCAAGGCTTTTAGTTGAACTTGCAACGCATTGCCGACATGTTTCGCGTCTTGCCACTGCTCTGCCTGCTCCTGGCTCTGTGCTCCCTTGTTCTGGGAGCGGAGAACTGCGACCAGGACCAGGACCAGGACCAGGGGACAGCCACGCTCTTCTGCCGTGGCGAGCGCGCTCTACGCAATGTCCTGAGGAACCTCAACAGGAGCGACCAGCCGCTGGTGGTGGTGCGGGGCCTGGAGATTGTGCCACTGCGGAATGCCACATCCCCCGGGGAGGAGGACTCGGAGCAGGGCCTGCTGGACAGCTTGGCCTTCTATCTGCGCACCCACGAGGTGAACGTGAAGTTGGCCTACCTACTGGAAGATGAGAGCAGAGGGGAGGTGGCAGGTGGGTTGACACACAGCCTGGAATTCCCACTCACAACTGTGCCATATTTGCTCTCTTTCCAGAAGCCCGCAAGAAGGACAAGGGCCAGGGCATGCTGCTGGCCATGGCCCTGATGTTTGGCAAAATGATGGCCGTGCTGGGGCTCGGCGGCATCGGGGCTCTGGCCATGAAGGCGCTCGGCGTGTCGATGGTGGCTCTAATGATGGCCGGCATGCTGGGTCTGAAAACAGCAGCGCAGCAGGGCGGCGAGTCCAGCCACAGCATTTCCTACGTAACCGGCGAGGGACACCATCACAAGCGGAGGCGTCGCCGCTCCACGCTCCACGC